AAAGGCAATTGCCATAGATGAATTTTCTGCATTTCAAATAAAACGGTTCGGGTGTTCGTTTAGTTTTAAATATATTATTCGAAAAGTTTTTAAAAGGAAAAATTAGCAAAAAATATTAAGTAAAAAAATATATAACAAAAAAAATATAGAAAAAAAATATTAATTAAATTATAAAAATTTTAAAAATTTGTGAATTATTTATTTTTTAAAATTTTTCTTTTTATTCTAATAAAAAATTAATTTGTAAAAATTAACCATAAGCGTATATTTAAACAATAGGACTTAATAATTTTGTGAAAAAATATTTAAAAAAAAATTTTTAACAAATTATTTAATTAATTTTCAAAAAAAAAAAAAAAATCATAACTACATTTGCATTTTAAAATTCTTAAATTTTAAAACATTTTGAATCGGAAAAATAAAAATATTTTATAATTTTATTTATAAAATAAAATAAAATTAAAAAAAAATAAATTATTAATTTCATATTTCATTACATTAATTTTTATTTAAATTTTTAATTTTAATAAAAAATAATTTATTAGCTTTAAATTTTACTGTTATTCTTCAATTTTTAAGACGTTCACATACTCGTGTACCTTCATATGCAAAAAATGCATATTGTATTTTTCGTATGAACGAAAAATTTAATAATAACAGTAAATAATTTCTCTATTCACACATGCATTTTACACATATAATATTCTCATTAAATATTAATTATATTGTTCATCAAATATTACAAAATATCAATAAATCAATCAATAATGAAAAACATTAAAAATTAATTATTTATAAAAGTGAATAATAAAAGAAAATTTATTTATGAAAAGGGAAAAATTTTTTAAATAATTATAAAAAAAAAAAATTTTATTCCTTTGATAATAAACGCAACTTTTATTAAAAAATAATATAAATTTGTAAAATGAAAGATAATGGGTTCGATACAAGTCTCAATTGAATATTTTATGCATATTGTGCTCTTATATGTATATTATAAATAATTAATGAATTTATATTGCAATACCGTAGATTACAAATATTAAAAAAGAAACTGTTGATTTTGCTCCATTTAATGTAAAATTGGAAAGATATTTGATTACAAATATAGGAAATTATTGTATAAATTAAAATTTTAAATAATACTTACATTTTTATGATTATTTAATAATCATAGAGAAAAATTTCTTAGACATTTTGAATTTTCTACTCTATGTAATGAATAACTTAATGTAACAGAAATTATTTCTTTGAATCTTTTATTACTGTAAAGAAATTTTTAGTTTATTTTTAATATTTTTAAACCAATTTATTCACAAAGAAATTTGAAAGTTAAGCAATCAATTTTAAAACAGGTGGATATACTGACCACTATAATACCGAGGAATTAATTTTAATATTATTATACAATTTTCTGTTAACTAATTTGATATATAGCTCTTGCAGCTTAAGTTTCATACTGCCATAAATATAAAAATCAATAAAAAATTACTTTAGTTCACTAAAAAATTACAAAAATTAATGCCTTGAAATTTAAAATAATTTTTTATAAGAATTTCTTATATTCATAAATTTTTATCAAATTATATGGTTCCTTATTTTTTCTCCTATAATTCCTTATTGCGTGTGTAATAACCGTTTCATAAATGTGGTATTTTATACACATGTATGTATACTCGTTTAAAACACGGAAAATTATTAAATTAATTTTAAAATAGCATTTCAGCGTTTACCTATAGAAAAATGCATTATTATAGTTAAATACAGTTAGTATTAGACACCAAAAAAAAAAAAAATTCCTGAATGGAATATTATGCACGTCCCATATATAAATTAAGCACAATATTCTAAATGTTCACAGCTATATCACATAATTTTATTATAAATGGTCTGATTTATATTAAATTTTTTTTTTTTTTAAAATGAAGAATATTTTTATTTCAATATCGATTTAAAGTTATTTTTTTTTATACAATTTAAAAATTATTTTTTTTTTTTGCTACGCTATTGTATGTAACAAAAAAAGTCCTTGTTTTCATACATATACATATATACATTTAATATTATTGTATAGAGCTCAAGTGCTTCAAACAGAAGAGATATTTGAAATATTAGTTCTGGAGAGTTTTTGATGAAGAATTCATCAATCATATCGTAAAATATAAAATCTTTAAAATTTCACTATTATAAGAGTATATTTAAAGAATATTTTATAAATCCCAAATGAAATATGAAATATTTTTATTTTAAATCTCCTTATAATCCTTATATAGAATTTTAAAGAATATTTTAATTTTCACTCAATTATAATATAGAAAATATTAAAGCTGTTAAATTCATATATAATATATATGTATATATACATTGAATTTTGATTACATTTATAAATATTGAATTTATGAAATTATTGCTGAAACGTGATTACTTTGCAAGTTTTGTCTTCTTACTTATACAATTACTTATAACGATCATAATAATCACGGATTGTATAATAGAAGGATAAAATTTCAAGAGTTTGTCTTAATATTTGAATACAATTATATACATAATTTAAAATTGAATTTATTTTGAAAATTTAATGTTAAAAATTTATTTGAAGTATTTTTGATACGCACAAACGTCGTACGGAATTGAATTTCAATTGGAAAATGAAAATTTATTAGATTGTATTTCAATAATTTTCAACATACGTAATATCGTAATCTGCGATGATATTTACATAATATTTATAATAATTTAGAAAAATATTTTCGGAATATGAAATTCTGTATATGTAATCGGCTTTTTAAATTTTATTACAAATTACAAGCACCTACATGCACATATTAAAAGGAAGGTGATGAGTTTTGTTGGAAAAATTTAGGCAGCATATAAAATTTTTTAAATATAAGACTTTGCGTAAAGCAAAATTTTTGCACATTCTGATATTTCAATTTTTGCTTTGAATATAATTACTATTAAAATTTTCTCCTCCTGTCATGTAATTAAGGTTTATGCCAGAATGACATCTTCCGGAATCTTTATTTTAAGTACAGAGCATAAGCCGTAGAATGAAAATTTTCCAGAATGTATTTCAGAAGGAATTTTTACATTTGTGCCATATTAAAGCTAGAAGGTCATTCTTAAAATAAAATTAAAATATATGAAAGGTTTTCAAAAAACATGCTGTCGTATTTCAATAAACATATTACAATCGTCTTTCAGTTGGTTTCATTTCAGCAATTTCCACGTGTTCTACTTATCTTTAATATTTAATTCATATTTTCAATCCATCTCATATTCCCTAAATCCAAAAACAATTAAATCATATTTATCAAAGAGATTTTACTTTTTTTTTTTAACTTGAATTTTTTATAAAATATCGATTTTTTGTTAAAATATAATGATTTAATATCCTTTTTCATTTAGAAAAAAAAAATCAAAGTAATATTATTATTTGTTGATGATGCATGGCTTTCATAAACAGCCTACAATATTATTAATCTTCATATCAGTATAGAATAATGATCAAAAGAACTATATTAAGTAATTTATAAGAATTTTATATTGAGTAATTTTTAATAATGTAAGTTATAGGTACCTACATATCTTCTGAAGAAGATCCCATTGATAATTCAAAGATATTATTAATAATTTAAGTTACTTATCTTAATGCTGATTTTAAGTTATTTCCGGATTTTTCAAAATATATTTAATGCTTAAAAAAATTCTATCTTACTTACATGGTTTTAGTTTCTTTAAGGTAAATTGAAAGAAGCGCATACTCGTATTTCTAGAAACAGTGTTACTGCAGTGTAAGCGCAAAATAAACTGCAATATTTTTTATTTTATGAATAAATATGCTTTGTTAAATAAGTCAAGTTGATGGTTGATCAGCATTTTCATAGCCCCATGTTTCTCCATATTACCAGTTATTAATGATTCTTTAAAAAAAATTATTCAATGTGTCCCCAATCCATAAAGCAATCAAAAGATTTTTAAATTCAATTCAGGTTAGACATTAGTTGTCGAGTTAAAAATTGTATTTTTTGCCCAGTGTCATAATTTAAATATATTGTCACAATTTTTCGTTAATTGATTATTTTATTATATTAGTAAAATTAAATTGTTGAATTTAATCAAAAATTTTATACCTTTTGCCATTAATTTCAAATGCTATCCTATTAATTACAAATTCGGGTTTATTAGAAAACCATAGTTTTCAAATTGCAGTAATATACTGCCTAGTTCCATACGATTTAGCAATTAAAATTTGCAAGACGGATTGAAGCTATAAAGGGAAATTCAACTCTCAAATTATTGTTTATTGTTTATAATAGTGTTGAATATTCTGTTTTAAATTTTTAGAAAATTTTTAAGCACTTCCGGGAATTTAAAAATTTTGAATGATTTGCTTTCTGTTATTAAAATTCGATATTACAGTATCGAATTTTTTAATATATGGCAGTGTTGGCAACATTACTGTAATTAAGAGCTCATTTCTTTATTATGTCAGAATTTAAGTTTATATTAAGGAGATTAAGTTGTTTCGAACCCAAAAATCTCTGGTATACATATAAATTAATTATTTTAATCAAAGATCATAAATAAATTGTATTTATGTACATAAAAAATATTTAATTAAAACTAAAAGAATTATTTATTTTTTATTTTATTTTATTTTTTTTGTTATTCTCGTAATCCTTTTTTAATGATTAACTAAAAAGTTTTTAACTTTAAAATGTGAAAATATTTTTTTTTATTTTACTTTTAATTTTCTTATTTTTTTTTTGTATTATGAAATTTTACATGTTTTTTTTTTAATTTTTTTTCAGAAATTTTCCCTTTTTTTTCTTCTTCAAATTAAAGTGTATAAAAATTATTTGGCATCTTTATTATATATATATATATATACGATTATATAATATAGAAAAATAAGAACAAAAACAAGCAAAAAGAAAAATTGTAAATTGAGTGCGAGAACTTAAAAAGGAATATAAAAGTTTATTTAAGATAAAAAACAAAAAAAAATTCATAATTCTTTTAAAGAAGAATAACTAAAGACGCACATACTTACATACGAAAACAAAATATATAACATTAATAATTTTTTAAAATAAAAGAACAAAAAGAGAAAAAGAACAACGCAAGTACCATATAAGTACAATTTGGAGGAGATTTATTTTTAAAAGGAAGAGGTAGGTTTTAACAAAAAAAAAACAAAAAATGAAAAAATAAGAAAATTTTTTTCTTACAATTTTACATTTTGTCTTGCTCCCTTATTTTATTTTTTGCTTCTTTAGTGAATGATCAAAGAAAACAAACTTTTTTATATTAGGCACAAAAAAAAAAACAAATCTTTTTGAATTATTCAAATATTTGTTTGGAATACCATATTAGTTTTATAATGTAAACATATTATAATGGATGTATTATTAGTATATCACAAAAATATGATTATAAAATAATGATGATGATATAAAAATCAATGATATTTACCATATATATACAAGCTTAAACCAGATGTACATACAATATGATTTACAATATAACAAATTCTTATACAATATCAAATTTCTTAAAAAATAAGTTGTCCTTAATTTCAAAAAAAAAAAAAAATTATTTTGAATTCGAACATTGAATACAAAATTTATAAATTTATTTTTTTTTTTTGCATATAATTTAAATATATGTATGCATATACTGTTATATTATGCAAGTTACAAGTAATACATTTATGTAATATTGTTATATTGGGAAAAGTTTTCGAATCAGTCATGAGTTATAATGAGCGCATAGAATATTTTGCATGCATACATATATATGATTAAATTTGAATTTTAAATTAAAATAGAAATTTTCATGTATTTAATATGGGATCTATGATATATTACATGCATATACATACATGTATATGATAGTAATAGGGTAATATTATAGCATGAATTACAAGAATATTGTATATTGAAAAAAAAAAAAATTGTATGAGTTTTTAATAGTTTACTAATTGGGAATCTTTGAAATCACTAGATTTGATACACAAATTTTAATATTTGTATACATTGTCGATAGAGTCATGTGTTATACGTATGTATATACATATAGAGTATAGAAAATTGGGTCAATTACAGGAAAATCGTTTTTTTTTTCTTTGTACTTTTTTCTGTAATGTAAAACATTAAACATTAAATTAAAACATTAAATATCATAAAAAAATTTTTTTTATTGTACTATGTACCTTATCATTAATTTTATGATTTTATTTTTTATTTTTTAAATATTTACCAATTAAAATTGAAGAGTTTTGTTTTTTGCTCATTTTACATTCTTTTACTAAATTATGAATAATGTGTTAATATTGTTGTTGGTCAAATGATTGTACTCATATATAAGTGAGAACCTATATTATATAAATAATTTTTGATATAAAAACAAAATTTATAAAATATTTTTTATGATTTGGGTAGATTTTTATTATAAAATATATATGCATAATATATTTATAATTGAAAGTAAAAAATTTGTCTTCATTTTTCTTAAATAAATTTTTTAATTGAATTGTAATTGATTTTATAATTAAATTTTTATGGTATACGTACATGATTTTTTCAAATAATATTAAAATTGAGTAGAAGGCGTAAATACAGATAATATAAAATTTCTCTGAGAGTTAAATCAAATTTGATATACAAATTTGATATACAATATTTACAATGAAAACATAACCTATATTTAAAATTTTAATGTAATTTTTTACTCAGATTTGTAAATTACTTAAATAATTTATACTTTTTTTTAAATAAATAAATTTAACTATAGTACATTTGAATATGCCTATAAAAAATCGTATGGTATATTTTTGCCATATATTAATGAATACCTAAAAGTATGCAATATCAAATACATGTCCACATATATTTCAAAAAAATTCTCATAATAAAAATGTTATGTAATATAGTGATGTATTTATTAATTTTGTTTGTACACATGTATTTGAACATACGGTAGGGTCTAGATAAATGCAATTTAAATAAACCAGTGATTTTGGCAATAATCCTGGTCACTTAATAAATGCATAATGTATGTAAGTATTTGTAATTAAATTGTGTATTGGAATTGCAATTAACTAATATGATTTTAAATTTTATTTTCGCTAACACATAAATTACATGAAAATAAGTTATTTGAAGAGAAAAACTTATTACATTTGGTTCAAATTAAAATTAATTTCCTTAATGAAACGCCAAATACCAAGATATTTCGTGTTTTAATTCATAAATGCAGATGTCGTAATAATTGTTTTAATTTCTCTAGTGAATGGTGTTAAAAAATTGTTTTCGACATGAAATTTTCATCGCGCGCATGAGTTTCGGTTAAAAAACTCTCAAAATTTCAAAAACAAATGTTTTTTTTTTTACTTTTTTGCTCTTTTTGGCTTTTGGAATTATCTGGGTTACAATTTGGTGGATTGTACGGTAAACCATAAATAATATTTATTTAGATTTATTCAATATGGTATAAAGAATGTCATCATTCAGATAAGTTGCCTGGTTTGTTCGCATATGTACAAGTTTGTTCTTAAAATAAGAATAAATAAAAGTTTCCTTTAAAGAATATTTTAATTTATGATGAGTGAATGTAAAATATTGTTTTCTTCATTTCATGACTAAAAAATTAAAAAAAAAACAAAATTATTTGTACAAATAATTATTGTATAGATACTTCTTCTCTTCCATTAGTCAATTTTATTTAATTTTTTAGCTAAATATTTAATGTTAATGAAATATGTCTGTATATCTACATATTATGTACATATTATACTATGTATGAAAAATATTGACATTTCTATCATAATTTATTTGTTTCATTGTTTGATGTAGGAATTTATATTATGGGGTAACATAATTAAAATGTCAACCCCGGAGAGAAAATAAATGAGTTCTATTGAAAATAAAATACCATTAATAAGCGTTGAATTAAAATATTATTAATTTTATAAGATGTTGAATTAAATAGGATTTTAAGAGAAAAGAAGAGGTAACATTGGTAATTAATATTTTTTATTTATTTGTTTTTTAAGAATATTTTTTGTTTAAAAGACCAAGTTGTTTATTTGAATATTAAGAAAAAATCGGAAAATTAGATTTTCAATACAGACAACTACGTGAACTCACGTTTAATTATTTCTTCTTGTGAGAAACTATTTACTCAAAAAGAGACTCTGCCAGAACGCAAAGAATAATTTGCGTAAATATTAAAGTTAATGAAGCTGATTTAGCTAGTTTTGAAAATTATTAGTAAGTTTTCACATTTCAGAAAAAATAGTGACTACGTTTGCACATTGTTTACTGTAAATTAATTAAGTTTAAGCCTCTCTATATTTGACATTATTTGATATATACCCTGCACATATGTAGTTAACTTTTCATTCTATCACTTTCTTAGTATCTGATTTGTCCAGATTTTAGCGCAGGTGCTTGATTCCAAACAATTTTAAATAATTTTGCTTTAAATATCTTTAATACGAAGTTGGATGGATCGTCAATATTTTTGTTTTTCTTTGAAATTGAAAATTGTTTAAATCTGCGATTGTCAGGCACTAATTAAAAAGCAACTTAAAGGTTTGGAACAAAGCTCATAATACGAATAAAACTTTCCTTCCGTAACTGTAATGAAGTATTGAATTTGTCAGATTCTTTTTTTTAACAGAGCAGTCAATAATGTGCATTTGCATTGAATTTATATACAATGTTTAAAAATTTGTACAGGAAAACTTTCAAAAATTTTGTTTTACTTTCTTTGTTTTAAAAAAATGTGGGAACATACATAATATTTTAAATTTTTATGTAACAATTGATGAACTAAAAAATATTGTGGTAAATTTTAGATTGATAAAATTTTTTCGATTTGTATAAGAAAAGTTTTCATTTCAAAGTTATTTTAATGGATGCCAGGTGCATTTGTATGAAATTTAAAAAAAAAAAAATATTTTAAAAATTTTATTTAATTGACTTACTCCAAAACTATTTTTTTTTTTTTTTTTTAATTAATTCTTTTTTAAATAGTTTTTAATTTTTAAAATGTATTTTAAAATGTCAGGATATATGGTAAATGTACACATGCTACAAGCATATGTTCTGAACTTTTTCAATAAATTTTAAGAAGAATTTATTAATATTTAAAATGAATTTGAGGTTAGGCAACATTTTACAAATTTCTGCTCAATATATTTGAATTCTGTTCTTAAATTTTTTAACCAGAGTCCTTAAATTTTTATTTTTTTTTTTTAGACAATTTACAAAAAACAATTTGTAAAATTTTTGGAATATTTTTTTCAATTCTAACTCAGATTTTCACGAACTTGTTTGTTATTGGATAGCTTTATGACCGAAAGTTGATAACTCAAAAAATTGTTCAATATTGTCGCTTTTGTATAGTGAATGCGAATTATTGAAACATTAAGTGTGTTCCTCAACAGTTTGCATAAATACATTTGTTTTAACAAAAAGTTTTTAGAGAAAGCGCCAAAAATGTCCGCCTGTTTGTCCGTCAAACTTCGGTGTCCAGTTTGAATGTAAAAATCTATTTTGCTAGAAAGAAATTTTACAAAATTTTAAGGATTAATTTTGAATTAAAACGAATTTTTTACACCGTTACTCTTTACTCCTTCCTTCTTATTTTTTAAACCTGCTAGAAATTATAGAATATTAAAAAAAAATTTTTTTGCAACTTATATTGTTGAGTTTCTGAGATTCCGTAAATACTATAGTGTTTAAAGTAAAGTGGCTTAAATTATTGTTACATCCCTAAAAGTATGCAATAAAAAATTATTATTTTAATACAAAAGTTTAAATACATTCCCCGCTTTTTTAAATGTGCTTTCAGCTGTTTAAGAGAAAATGTGTTATTTTACAAGGATATTTTGATCTAATTTTATTATTGCATATTTCGCACATCTAGCTACATGAATTTTTACAATGTTACAGAAAACTAATACTTAATTTTATTTTAATAAAAATTGTTTTTAAATTTTTTTTCATTAAAAACATTTTTCACAATTATTAAAAAATAATTAGTCTTCTCATTAGGTTATTAGTCTTCTTATAAATTTCAATAATCTCATCATATGAACTCGTATAATTTCACTTAAGAAACTCTTTTCGTTCTCTAAATGATTTTTTTTTTTTGAAATGTTATA